AGTAACAGTGTTAGACAGATCACTGAAGCCGAAAAAAAAAAGTAAGGATCACTGTCCTTATATCAGATAGAACACATTAAATTAACAACTGTTAAAACAAAGAAGGGAATGATATAAGCAGAAAACTAATAAAGAAATTCTGCATTTAAATTCAATGCTTGATCAATTGAACCTACAAAACACTTCACTCATCAACCACAGAACATACATTGGACTACGTGTAGATGAGTGTACTGTCCAAAACAATTTACAGATTCAATGCTATTTCTAGCAATCTACCAATGTTATTTTTTACAAAAGAAAAAAAAGTATTCTAAAATTCACATGAAACTTAAACGGAGCCTGAATAGCCAAGCCAAAGTAATACGAAGATAAAACAAAACATAAAGAAAAAACAAAAAAAGGAAAAACCCAAAAAGCTACAGACATTATATACCACAACTTCAAACTATACTAGAAGACTATAGTAATCAAAACAGCACGATACTGGTAGCAAAACAGGCACAGAGAACAACAGAACATAATAGGGAACTTGGAAATAAGGCCATATGCTTTCAACCATCTCATCTTTTACAGGGTTGACAAAAATAATCAATGGAGGAAAGATTTTTTATTCAATAAATAATGTTGGGACAACTGGCTGGTCATATGCAGAAGAATAAAGCTGGACTCCCATCTTTCAGCATATAAAAAATTAACAATATGAATTAAAGAGTTAAAAGTGAAATCTCAAGCTATAAAAAGCCTAGAAGAAAACCTAAACAATACCCTTATTAATATTAGCCTTGACAAATAATCTATGGCTAAGTCCTCAAAAGCAATTGTAACTAAAACAAAAATTGACAAGTGGGATTTAATTAAACTGAAAATCATTTCCACAGCAAGAGAAACTATCAAGGGAGTAAACAGATAACCCACAGAATAAGAGAAAATATTTATGAACTAGGTATCTGACAGAGGTCTATTATTCAGCATCTATAAGGAAGCTTAATAAATCACCAAGCAGGGAGCAAGTAACTCCATTAAAAACTAGACAAAGTACATGAACAGACAGTTCTCAAAAGAAGACATACCTATAAGCATCCAACAAACATATGTAAAAGTGCTCATTATCATTAGTTACTAGAGAAATGCAAATCAAAACCAAAATGAAATATCATTTCACAACAGTCAGAATGGCTTTTGTTAAAAAGTCAAAAGAAAAGCACATATTGGTGAGACTGCATAGAAAAGAGAACTCTTATATACCTTCTGAGGGAGTGTAAATTAGTTCTCCCACTGTGTAAAGCAGGTTTGAGATTTCTTAAAAAACTGAGAGTTGAACTACCATTCAACCCAGTAATCTCATTACTGGCTGTATGCCCAAAGGAAAATAAATATCCCACCAAAAAGACACATGTATCTATATTTTATCACAGCATTATTCACAATAGCAAACACAGGATCAACCCAGGTGCCCATTAATGGTGGTCAGGATAAAGTACCATGGAGCATTGTTCAGCCATAAAAAACATCAAAATTATGCCACTTGAAGCAACATGGATACATTGTTCTAAGCAATCTAAGGCAAAAGCAAAACCAAATACTGCATGTTCTCACTTATAAGTGAGAGCTAAACGCTCGGTACACATGGACTCAAACATGAGAACAATAGACAGTGAGGAATACAGATAAAAACTACCTATAAGTTAGTATGTTCTCTACCATGGTAATGAATTCATTTATACTCCAATTCTCAGCATCATATAGATGAGTGAATGTAAATAATGTTACATAACACAATGAGAAAGTTTAACTAATTAAAATAGAAACAAAAATATTTTGACCTGTAAATAGAGGATATGCTTTATTTTAGAATACCAAATAAAAATATATTAAGGAGAAGATTTGAATGCCAGTGAATTTATGCAGCAGAAATCCATCAGGTCATATTTTTAAGAAATATAAAATGATAATAGCAAATATTGGTAAAATAGTGTAAAGTTATAATGGCAATCATTAAAAAATTAGGAGACAGATGCTGGAGAGGATGTGGAGAAATAGGATCACTTTTACACTGTTGATGGGAGTGTAGATTAGTTCAATCATTGTGGAAGACAATGTGGTGATGTGGTGATTCCTCAGGGATCTAGAACTAGAAAGATCATTTGACCCAGCAATCCCATTACTGGGTATACACCCAAAGGATTATAAATCATTCTATTATAAAGACACATGCACACATATGTTTATTGTGGCACTGTTCACAATAGCAAAGACTTGGAACCAACCCAAATGCCCATCAATGATAGACTGGATAAAGAAAATGTGGCACATACACACCATGGAATACTATGTAGCCATAAAAAGGATGAGTTTATGTCCTTTGCGGGGACATTGTTGAAGCTGAAAACCATAATTCTCAGCAAATTCACACGAGAACAGAAAACTGAACACCACATGTTCTCACTCATAAGTAGGTGTTGAACAATGAGAACACATGGACACAGGGAAGGGAACATCACACACCAGGACCTGTTGGAAGGTGGAAAACTAGGGGAGATATAGGGGTGGGGGGCAAGGGAAGGGATAGCATTAGGAGGTACCTAATGTAGATGATGGAGTGATGGATGCAGTGAACCACCATGGCAAGAGAATACCTATGTAACAAACCAGCACATTCTACGCATGTACTCCAGAACTTAAAGCATATTTAAAAAGTGTAACTAGGTTTCAGAGTACTCAGCATTATACAACAAAAAATCTACTAGAATTAATGAACTAATGTAGTAAAGTTACAAGATACAATATTATTATACAAAAATCTATATAGTAAAAACAAAATAACTGGAAAAAAGTAAAAATTTAACTTATAATACCATTAAAAATAAAATAGGAGTAAATTTCACTGAGAAGGTGAAAGATCTGTATACTAAAAACTATAAAATATTGATGAAATAATTTAAAGAAGACACAAAAATACATTCTATGTTTATGAATTCAAAAGTTATTATTGTTAAAATATAGTACCCAAAGTGATCTACATATGAAAAGGAATCTGTCAAAATTTTAGTGACATTTTTTTCATACATATAGTAAATATAAATCTAAAATTAGTATAAAACCAGAAAAGACCCCAAATAGGCAAAGCAATATCAAGAGGAACTAAAAGGCTTGTAGCATCCAATCTTTATATTTAAAAATATAATACAATGCTATATTCTTCAAAGTAGTAGAGTACTGATTTAAAAACCTACATAGAAACCAATGGAACAGAATGGAGAGCCCAGAAATAAACTCACACATACACAGTCAACTGATCTTTGACAAAGGTACCAATATGACACTATTACAAAGAAGTATTATTTATTTCTGGAAAACAGTATATGGACATACAAAAAAGAAGCCCTTTTTATATCATGACAAAAAATCATTTAAAATGAACCAAAGACTTAAGCATAAGAACTAAAATCATGAATCCACTAAAATAAAACACAGAAAAAAATTTTGGAAACTAGCTTGGTTATGATTTTTTAGATTTGACATCAAAAGCACAGGCAAAAAAAAAAAAAAAAAAGCAAAAATAAATAAGTAAGACCATATCAAAGGATAAAGATTTTGCACAAAAAGGAGACAATAAACAAAATAAAAAGGCATATCAGGAAATAATGAAAAATATCTGTAAACCATATATTCCATAATGAGTTAATATTTAATATATATTACGAAATCATACTACTCAATATCAAAAAAGGGCAAAGCAAAGACCAATTACCTAATTGTTACCTGCAATCTAAAACTGCCATATTTTCAATGACATACAAATAACCAGTGAGAGTATAAAAAGATGCTCAACACCATTACTCTTCAGAAAAATAAAAATCATAACCACAATGAGATATCACTTCATACCTGTTAGGACAGATATTATCAAAGCATCACAGTGTTAGTGACAGTGCACAGAGAAGAGAATATTTGTACACTGTTGGTGAGAATGTAAACTGGTGCAGCCATTATTGAAAACAGTATGGATGTTCCTGAAAAATTTTAAACTATAACTACCGCCAATCTCAATGCTGGGTATCTATCCAAAAGACATAAATAGTATCTCAAAAAGTATTTTTTTAGTAACAGGAATATAGAAACAACTTGTTTTTATTGAAAAATGAATGAATAAACTGCTATATATAAAGATTTTCTGCAGGAAGGTAAAATGAAAATGAAGATGTAAGAGACGCATTTTGAAAATATCAAATCATGGTGGACAATGAACTGAGGGAACCACATAGTTTTCTGGCACCAGCAAATTCAAAAGTGCTTTAATATAAAAGTGCAATTCCACATGCTTTATTGAGGTCAGATAGCAAATCCTGTGCTTCTTGAATAATTTAACTGGTAATAGAAAATTAATATTTAATAAAAAATTTATCACTGACTTGTTAAAAATGGATGGCACTGCCATTCCAACTTTCACGCAATATTGATGATTCCTATATTAGATCTGAGTGGCATAGATATTGACCACAAACCTTTGGAGACAGAGGATAACAGGGCCAAATACCCATAACAGAACTGAAGGTGAAGAGACAATGAAGTCCAGTGAGCCCATAACCACAAAGAAACTCACCACCAGCAGGAAGTTCTGAGTGGTTCTTTTTTCAGGGGAAGAACTTGAGGAGAGGCTGGTATTGCAAAGGCACTGGAATTACCTCTGATGCCTGAATAAAGGAAATACCATGTATGAACTTGAGAGCAGCATAATTACTACAAAGAAGACATCCCTGAATAATGACAGAGTAAGAAACAATTCCTCAGTGATGGAGTTCATAGGAGACACTGCATAGTATTTACTGACATTCAGTATATTTGTCTGGGTCATGCTACAATAAGCTACAATATAAATGATCATGTCACTAGTGAAAAACAAATTGAGGGACCACAAAAAGAATAAACTCCAGATATTGTAATTTTTGAATTTATGTTTAAATCTCACCAACCAGATGGTGTAGGGACTGATGACGATGGCCTGGAGCACACTCAGGATGCAGGTGGTGCTGATGGGAAGGCCCCTTATCACCCTGCACATGTAAAACAGAGCCTGACATGTGAAGTTATTCAGAAAATTTAGTGACTCAAACATGTCTGGAGACAAAAATTCCACTGCAGTGAAGATCATGACTATGTGGACAAAGTGACAGATAATCAGGTCATGGGGCTTAAGCCTGTGACCCTGAAAGAATGTGAAGGTATAAAAGAGAAAGAGAAATGTGTGGGCTGAGATTTCAATAATACATTGAAAAATAGGCATTTATTAAAGATAACATAAGTAAAAGTTTATTTTTTTGATGGTTGATTTTTTAAATAGCATTTTAGGTTTTGGGGTACATGTAAAGAGCATGCAAGATTGTTGCATAGGTACACGCATGGCAGCGTGATTTGCTGCTTTCCTCCCCATCACCTATACCTGGCATTTTTCCCCATGTTATCCCTCCCCAACTCCCCAGCCTCCACTGTCCCTCCCCTATTTCCCCTCAACAGACCCCCGTGTGTGATGATCCCCTCCCTGTGTCCACGTGTTCTCTTTGTTCAACAATGTAAAAGTGTATTTATCTGGATGGTATAGGAGAAACATATTTTGTATATCTGAAAGAAAACATCAATAGACATCATATTACCAATGTCCTTTTCAGTGTTCAAAATGAGTACCATCATCATTATTTAAATTTCAACCATGTATTCTTGCTTAATCCTATCTTATATAAATTCTCAATTATGTATCTCCTTATGTATTTTTTAAACAAGATGATACACATAATGAACACATTTACAACTATGTATTTTATATTTCTGATGCACCTTAGCTTCCTGTTTATAAATCAATACCATATGATTCTGTGTTTTCTCACTTTATATTTAGTAACCAAAACAGAAACAGGAATATTAAATAAATGGTATTTGTAAATTAAATTGAATGTAATTTATGTGGATGTGAAAGAATCATTAAAACAACTAAAAAATATCCAGGTTAGCTTTTCCCAGAACGTGTCACTTTGATAAAATGTATTCTTTATTTTTTTAATATGTGTATATATATATATATTTATTTATATATGTATGTGTATATATATATATATATTAATATGTGTATATATATATAATATGTGTATATATATATATATATTTTTTTTTTTTTTTGCTGTACTCTAAGTTCTGGGGTGCATGTGCAGGTCTTGAAGGATTGTTGCATAGGTACACACACGCCATGGTGGTTTGCTGTCTCTATCCTCACATCATCTACATTAGGCATTTCTCCCAGTGTTATCACTCCCCAACTTCCCCGCCCCCCCACTGTCCCTCCTGTAGGCCTCCATACTGCAACAGACCCCAGTGTGCAATGCTCCCCACCCTGTGCCCATATGTTCTCATTGTTCAACACCTGCCTATGAGTGAGAACATGCAGTGTTTGGTTTTCTATTCTTGTGTCAGTTTGCTGAGAATAATGGTTTCCAGATTTATCCCTCCCTACGAAGGACATAAACTCATCGTTTTTGATGGCTGCATAGTATTCTATGGTGTATATGTGTCACATTTTCTTTATCCAGTCTATCATCAATGGGCATTTGGGTTGGTTCCAGGTTTTTGCTATTGTAAACAGTGTCGCAATGAACATACGTGTGCATAAATCAGTCTCTTATAATAGACCGATTTATAATCCTTTTGGTATATACCAGCAATGGGATTTCTGGGTCAAATGGAATTTCTATTTCTAGGTCCTTGAGGAATTGCCATACTGTCTTCCACAATGGTTGAACTAATTTACACTCCCACCAACAGTGTAAACAACAACCTATTTCTCCACATCCTCTCCAGCATCTGCCTCCAGATTTTTTAATGATTGCCATTCTAACTGGTGTGAGATGGTATCTGAATGTGGTTTTGATTTGCATTTCTCTAATGACTCATGATGATGAGTATTTTTTCATATGTTTGTTGGCCTCATATATGTCTTCTTTTCAAAAGTGTCTTTTCATGTCCTTTGCCCACTTTTGAATGCGGTTGTTTGCTTTTTTTCTTGTAAATCTGTTTTATTTCTTTGTAGGCTCTGGATATCAGCCCTTTGTCAGATGAGTAGATTGCAAACATTTTTTCCCATTCCGTTGATTGCCAGTTCACTCTAATGATTGTTTCTTTTGCTGTACAGAAGCTCTTAAGTTTAATTAGATCCCATTTGTCTATTTTGGCTTTCATTGCCATTGCTTTTGATGTTTTAGTCATGAAGTCCTTGCCCATGCCTATGTTTTGAATGATTTTGCCTAGGTTTTCTTTTAGGGTTTTTATGTTTTAGGTCTTATGTTTAAATCTTTAATCTATCTGGAGTGAATTTTAGTGTAAGGTGTGAAGAAGGGGTCCAGGTTCAGCTTTCTGCACATGGCTAGCCAATTTTCCCAGCATCATTTATTAAACAGGGAATTCTTTCCCCATTGCTTGTTTTTGTCGGGTTTGTCAAAGATCAGATGAGTGTAGATGTGTGGTGCTACTTCCGAGGCCTCTGTTCTGTTGCATTGGTCTATATCTCTGTTTTAGTACCAGTACTGTGCTGTTTTGATTGCTGTAGCTTTGTAGTACAGTTTGAAGTCAGGTAGCGTGATGCCTCCAGCTTTGTTCTTTTTGCTTAGGATTGTCTTGGCTACGCAGTCTCTCTGTTGGTTTCATATGAGGTTTAAAGTGTTTTTTTTTTCCTAGTTCTGTGAAGAAGGTCAAGGGTAGCTTGATGGGGATAGTATTGAATCTATAAATTACTTTGGGCAGTTCGGCCATTTTCCTGATACTGATTCTTCCTAACCATGAGCATGAAATGTTTTTCCATCTGTTTGTGTCTTCTCTTATTTCCTTGAGCAGTGGTTTGTAGTCCTCACTGAAGAGGTCCTTTACATCCTTTGTTATTTGTATTCCTAGGCATTTGATTCTCTTTCTAGCAATTGTGAATGGGAGTTCACTCATGATTTGGCTGTTTGTCTGTTGTTGGGGTATAGGAATGCTTGTGATTTCTGCACATTGATCTTTTATCCTGAGACTTTGCTGAATCTGCTGATCAGCTTAAGGAGATTTTGGGCTGAGACAATGGGGTATTCTAAATATACAGTCATGTCATCTGCAAATAGAGACAATTTGACTTCCTCCTTTCCTAATTGAATATGCATTATTCCCTTTTCTTGCCTGATTGCTCTGGCTAGAATTTCCAATACTATATCAAATAGGAGTGGTGAGAGAGGGCATCCTTGTCTAGTGCCAGATTTCAAAGGGAATGCTTCCAGTTTTTCCTGTTCAGTATTGGCTGTGGGTTTGCTGTAAATAGCTTTTATTATTTTGAGGTATGTTCCATTGATACCTAGTTTATTCAGGGCTTTTAGCATAAAGGGCTGTTGAATTTTGTTGAAAGCCTTCTCTGCATCTATTGAGTTAATCATGTGTTTTTTGTCTTTGGTTCTGTTTATGTGATGGAATTACATTTATAAACTTGCATATGTTGAACCTGCCTTTCATCCCCAGGATGAAGCCTACTTGATCGTGATGGATAAGCTTTTTGATGGGCTGTTGCAATCGGTTTGCCAGTATTTTATTGAAGATTTTTGCATCAATGTTCATCATGGATATTGGCCTGAAGTTTTCTCTTTTTTTTTGAGTCTCTGCCAGGTTTGGGTATCAGGATGATGTTGGTCTCATAGAATGAGTTAGGAAGGATTCTCTCTTTTTGTATTGTTTGGAATAGTTTCAGAAGGAATGTGGTACCAGCTGCTCTTTGTACATCTGGTGGAATTCAGCTGTAAACCCATCTGTACCTGAACTTTTCTTGGTTGGTAGGCTATTAATTGCTGCCTCAACCTCAGCCCTTGATATTGGTCTATTCAGCGTTTCAAATTCTTTCTAGTTTAGTCTTGGGAAGTTGCAAGTGTCCAGGAATTTATCCATTTCTTCCAGATTTACTGGTTTATGTTCATAGAGTTGTTTGTAGTAATCTCTGATGGTAGTAGATTTCTGTGGAATTGGTGGTGCTATCCCTTTATCATTTTTTATTGCATCTATTCGATTCTTCTCTCTTTTCTTTTTTGTTAGTCCGGCTAGGGGTCTGTCGACCTTGTTGATCTTTGCAAAAACCAGCACTTTACTTATTCATTTTTTGAAGGGTTTCTTCTGTCTCTGTCTCCTTCAGTTCTGTTCTGATCTTAGTTATTTCTTGTCTTCTGCTAGCTTTTGAGTTTTTTTTTAATCTTTCTCCTCTTGCTCTTTCAATTTTAATAATGGGGTGATGATTTTAGATCTTTCCTTACTTCTCATGTGGGCATTTATTGCTATAAATTTTCCTCTAGACATTGCTTTAAATGTGTCTCAGAGATTCTGGTATGTGTGTCTTCATTCTCTTTGGCTTCAAAGAACATCTTTATTTCTGCCTTCATTTCATTGTTTATCCAGTTGACATTCAGAAACCAGTTCAGTTTCCATGTAGTTGTGCAGTTCTGAGTGAGTTTCTTAATCCTGAGTTCTAATTTGATTGTACTGTGGTATTAGAGAGTATTTCTTATGATTTCCAATCTTTTGTATTTGCTGAGGAGTGGTTTACTTCCAATTATGTGGCCAATTTTAGAGTAAGTGTGATGTGGTGCTGAGAATAATGTATATTCTGTGGATATGGGGTGGAGAGTTCTGTAGTTGTCTATTAGGGCCGCTTCATCCAGATCTGCATTCAAGTCCAGGATATCTTTGTTGATTTTCTATCTCATTGATCTGTCTAATATTGACAGTGGAGTGTTAAATTCTCCCACTATTATTGTGTGGGAGTCTGTCTATTTGTATGTTGTTAAGAAATTGCTTTATGTATCTGGGTGCTCCTGTATTGAGTGCATATATATTTAGGATAGTTAGCTCTTCTTGTTGCATTGATCCTTTTACCATTATGTAATGCCCTTCTTTGTCTCTTTTTATCTTCGTTGGTTTCAAGTCCATTTTATAACAGACTAGAACTGCAACCCCAGCTTGGTAAATCTTCCTCCCCTTTTTTTTTTTTTTTTTTTTTTTGAGTCTCTGTGT